AACAGCAAAATCAAGCACTTGAAGTTACACTAGTCCAAATTATTAACGCCTTTAAAATTTAATTTCAATTTTAAGCAGGTTCCAATTTCAGACCCGATACGTACTTGTAAAATCACATATTCATAATTTAAATAATTTAAAAAATCATGTCTAAATCAAATAACTGGAAGGAAACATATGATAATGTTTTAAGTGTTTTTAATGTACCAGAGCTAAAATCAGAATTACGGCAGACAAAGATAGGAGATATAGAGGTATTCAATTGTATTAAAAGTTTATAATTAAATCAAAATAAACAACACACAAAAGTTTTTATACAAATATTTCGTGAAGAAACATTTATTTTTAGTTATTGTTTGAGCTAAAATTTATTTAAACCCAATTTTAATCTGAAATTTTCTATTATTGTTTTAAAAAAAAATTTTTTTTATAAAGATTTCTAGTTATGATTTATTCGTTGACCTTAACAAATATTTTTCAAACCTCGATATAAAACCTGAAACTCGAATCTTCCGAATTTATGCTGATGTAGTTCAACTTTCAAATACTTTAGAAATTCCACTTTTGAATGACGGTGGTGCTATTTTGATAGTAGCAAGGCGAATTGAAATTAAACCAAAATGCAAAATAATTGTTAATTACAAAAAATCTTTCCGAATAGTAATTTACACTATAGAAATGACATCTGAACTTGAAATTATTGCAAATAATGATTCATATAAATTCGAAATTAAAGATTCAAAAAATGTTGGTAAAATACTTACTATATGCAATGGAAAAAGTCCAGAATATAAGGATATACGTATATTTGATAACATTATCCTTAAAAATAATACATTCCTCAAAATTTTACAATACACTTTAAATATCGCTATTGCCTTATTTTATGATAATCTTGGAATTACACGACCAATTCTCTCTTGGATCATAAGAATAACAAGACAATCTGAACGTGAAGAAACAAAAGAATTATATTATTATGCATTGACGATACTCACGAAACTTAATACCATAGATAATAGAAAAGAAAATAATATTAAATTTGTTCCGCCGCTTGATAAGCGAATTTATAAAGAACGAATTGATGAATATATGAAATTTGCAAAAGATTATGAAG